CCAGCGAAGGCAGCGCGCGGCCGGCGTGAGTCCTCCGAGTCCCCGCGGTCCCGGCCGCAGAGTGCTGTGTCTGCGCGATCGAGGCTGCAGCGGGGCTCAACGGGAGCGCGCCTGCGCGCCACCGGGCTGGGGGCTGGGCGGACGCAGCTTTTGCGTTTCTCTTTTATTAAAAAAAAAAAAAATCCCTAAGTCACATACATTTGTCGGATTCTTTTGTGAATGCCGTAGGTGTTTAAACCTACTCGGCTTGCTCGGGTCTTTTGTTCTTTTTAGCACAAAGATCTTAACGGATCGTGGGTGTCCTTGCTGGGCACACTGTGTTTTAAACCCCTGTCTCTTTATAACGCACTGAGCACCTATGTTTCATGCATAATGCGGTTTAATTAAAGACCCTCCCTTTGCATTTCGACAGTTGGGATGCCATCTATGAACGAGAACTGCAGACTTTTCAAGAATATGGAGATGCAGGAGAAATCTGGTGAGTTGGGTGAAAAAAAGAAACTGGGATGGAGATGATGATATGTGTGTGTGTGTGTGTGCATAGTTGTGTATCTGAGCATAGCAAATGTTTATGCCAAAGAAATGCATATACCAAAGGTTATAAAAAAAAGAAAGCTCCCTTAAAAATCTTGGCAACCGAGACTGATTCTGGCTTTATTGGATAGATTTATAGCCTCTCTCTTTTTTTCCTTTTAAGGATTCAGATTTAAAATGGAGTGCTCTGGTGACCTAGTGTTAAGAAACTGTGCTGTGGTTCCAGATCTCAAAGGCACTCAGTTCGAATCCATCAGCTGCTCTATGGAAGAACCATGAGCAATCTTTCTGTTCGATAAATACCTTCTGAAAACCTACTGGAGGGTCAACTTTTAATTGGTACTGACTTGACAGCACCGAAAACCATAAAGAAATTATTCTTACAGTTGTCCTATGAGAAATAAAATTTTGAGAAAAACTGTCAACCAACCCATATCTGAGCCTCCAGCTTGTTTGCAGAGGCCCATACTCCTCCTGCAGGACAGGTAGTAGATTTGAACCTCCCACCTTTGGTTGGCAGTGCAACTGTATCCACTAGAGCTCCCTAGAAAAATTATTATAATTTTTATAATTTATGACTAATTATTTTTTAGTCAGAAATATATTGACCTTGTTTATTTTATTCTTGGAGATGTTTTCTTTAAAGTAACATTTGAGAAGATGCTTAAATGGCACTGGTAGTGCTTTGGAAAGACTTTAATGAGTATGTAGCATAGAGTTGTAACTTTTGGTTTATGTCTGTTATTTGATTAACTGATTTCCTGTTTCTGACAGGTTTGGAGAAGAGAGTATGTATCGATTAATCAGGTGGCTGGAAAAACAGAAGATACCATTGGATGCTTCAGTACTAGACATTGGAACTGGAAATGGTGTTTTCCTGGTTGAGCTTGTTGGTACTTTTAGTTATTCATGTGTTTGAACCTTGTTTTTAGATTGCTTTGAGTATTGTAACTGGAACCAGTAATTTAAATCTGAAGAGCCTGGTAATGCTGCTTGCTTTGAGAAGTTACTAGTACTGAAAGAGGCTATGTGGATTGTCAGAAAGTACTGAATGAGACACCCAAGGACCTGAATCTTACTGTTGGTCTTTCTGCTTGTTTCTTTGACATTGAGCTGGCCACTTCTTTAAACGTTTGTCTAAATGATGTCTCTCAGCTTCCAATAGGTCAGGACTGTGGAGATCTAAAGTTATAAAAGGAAGATGACTTTTTGCAATTCCAGTAGGCACATAACACTGTGTCTTAGGTGAGCATGTGATCTGAACCATTGACAGTCCTACGGAGCACCATTCTTTCCTCACCTGAAGTTGCTGTAAGTTAGAATCAGCCTGATGGCACTGATGCTTTTTGCGTTTGGTAGATCTGTCAGGTCCCTGATCTGTCACGTACCTTGTAATTTAATTGTCATTTCCCTGGTGACTTAAAGGTGCCACGTAGCAACTTAGATAATGTCTTTCAAATACCTGTTTAAGTTTCTAACAGTTTTGAAAATGGAGTGACTTGTCAGGATTTTTTTTTTTTTAAATTAGGGAATGTCACCTTTGTTTGCATTATGGAAAGTATTTCTTTAGACTGTTTTATTCATTTTTGTGCTAGTATCTTTTTTTTAAATTTTATTATTTTTTGTGCATGTACTGTCAAATCAGTTCTGACTGGTACAGGAAGAGATTGTCCCTCCTTATCTAGGAGAGCATCTGGTGGATTTGAACCTCACACAGATGGGATAGCAGTGCAGCTTCTTGCCCCTAGGCCACCAAAGCTCTCTGTGATAATCTTTTTTTTTGGTTGTTTTTGGTAATATCTTTTGATGAACCAAAGTTCTTTAGTTTTTCTGAAGTTCAGTTTTTAATAAAAAAATGTAGTTGGTACTTTTTTAATATTTAAGAACTTTTTATCTTTAAGTTTTACCAGAATCTTAAAGATCTTTTGATGGTTTTTTTTGGAAACTTTATTATTTCCTTTCACATTCAGGTCTGTTTAAATCCTTGTGTACGCTCTTATGTAGAGATTGAGGCTGCTTTTCCCCATTTCCCTAACAGTATAACCCAAAAACTTAACTCGCTGCTCTAAAGTTGAAACTGTGTCATAGCTGACCCTCTAGTGAGTTTTTGGAAGTTGGAAATCAAACAGTAGATGATTGCCCATATTTTCCCTGCAAAGCAGCTGGTAGATAACTCTTACTTCATTCATTCTTAAATGTTTGCAAGAATATGATGACATGAACAAGATAAGTTTTCTTTTTAAGAACATTTTAAATTAAAATTTCTATTTTCATAGATTTAGTATTAGCTAGATTGTTGTTTCTTTGTGTGCCAGTTTTATGCTCTTCAAGAAATTTGTTCATTTTATCTAAATTTTAGATTCATTATCACAAAATTGTTGGTCATGTAAAAAAAAATGTTGGTCATGTCTTGCTAAATTTAAAAACATAATATACTAATCATTTGACTTTTTTTTATATACAGTTTTCTGAACTTAGTGCATCTAGATATTTAAGTACTTGCCACTACAATCAGGAAACATAAAACAGTTCCATCCAGAAAAATCCCTCCCTCCAGCTTTCTGGTCCTGGCAGCCACTTATTTGTTCTCCGTCACGTGATTTATCTTTTTGAGAATACTATGTAAATGCAGTTCTGCAGCCTGGAACCTTTTTAACTAGCTTCCCACCCCCCAATTTTATTGATGTTAAGGGAGCTCTGGTGGCTTAGTGGTGGGGGATTGTACAGCCAGCTCAGAGGCACGTGGTTTGAATCCACCAGCTCCACGGGAGAAAGATGGGCCGTCTCCTCCTGTGCAGTTAGCTGCCTCTGGAAAACCATCGGTGGGGCAGCTGTGAGTCACTTCCAACTGAAGGTACACAACAGCTGGTGGTCTCTGATGGTTCAAACCCACCAGTGTGGCTTCAGTGCAATTCACAGCTTCCGAAAACCCACTGGAGGGTCAGCTGTGAGTTTGTTCTCACTTGATGACAAGGAGTACTTTTTAGTCTAATGCTTCTAAAATTCACCCATGTTTGTTGCGTATATCGATAGTTCATATTTCTCTTGCTGACAGTAACTCTGTTGTGTAAATGTGTTTGTTCTTTCATTTGTTGGACGTTTGGATTGTTGCCAGTTTTTGCCAATAATTAATAAAGCCTTTATTAACATTTGTGTGTAAGTTTAAAAGTTTAATTTCTTTAGCATAAATTTATGTTTAACTTAGTAAGAATTTGCCAGATAATAATCCTAGAGAGCTGTACTATTTTGTGTTTTGGTTGTGCATACCTGGCAGCTCATACGCATTTTAGTTGTTCTTATTCCTTTCTTTTTATTTGTACAGGTCTGTTCTGGTTGCTACTCTGTGTAGATGACATTTGTGCCTGGCACTTTGCCTCAGTGTCTTGATTATCAATGCAGCTTTTTTGTAAATCTTGGAGTTGGGCTGTGTAATTCTTCTGATTTCTTTTTCTAATACTCTTTTGGTTATTCTCGATCCTTATCTTTCCAAAGAAATTTTACAACGAGGCAGTCTATATCAATGAAAGATCTCTATTCAGATTTTGATTGGGATTTGGCTATCTTTACTATTTCAAGTTCTCTAACCAATGAACATGATCTCTCTCCCCATTATTTGAGTTTTCTTTCATTACCATTTTATATTTTTCATATAGATTCTGTATAATTTTATTGTATATTTGTAATTTTTTTTTGGTGTTATTTTAGTTATATTGCTTTTTGAAATTCAGTTTCCAGTTTATTGCTGGAAGTGTGATTAATTTTTATGTGTTGACTTTATCCTGAACTGTACTTATTACTTCTGTAAAGGCTATTTTTATGTGTGTTTTCTATATAAATAATCATGTTCTCTGTGATTATGAGCAATTTTATACATTTTCTAGATCACACATTTGGTACCACAGTTAAATAGAAGTGATGAAAACGCACATCTGTACAGGGTCTCGATCTAAATACTGTGACCAGTAAGTGGGATTCTTAGCTATAAACTGAGGAAGTTCCTTTCTGGAAAGTTCCTCTCTAGATCTAGAATGCTAGTTGAATTTTTGTGTCTAGATGTTTTTCTTTTTTCCCAAGGAGATCAAAAGGGAAATTGTCAGGTTTATTTGGAGAAAAAAAGGATCCTGAATAAGCAAAGCACTTCTTTTTTTTTCTTACAGTTGAAAAGTGTTTAATAGTCAGATAATATATATCTTTAAAAATAGCACGTTTTCACATGGCTTTGAAAAGTGGATCTGACCTTGTACTAATACATGTTTTTTCTGCATTGAACCAATAATGCATCTCTAGTGTGAACCTGTTTGGTTAAAGTATCGCACATTGTCTATGTGTTGCTAAAATCTGTGTTCATGAGGAATATTGGTCTGTAGTTTTCCTTTCTTGTACTATATTTTGTTTTAGTCTTAGGGAAGTACTGGCCTTATCAAATGAATTTGCAAGTGTTCCTTTTATTTTTAACAATTGGGTTATTGTTATTGTTGTTAGGTACCATCGAGTCTCCTGCAACTCATAGTGACCCTATGGACAAAGCTTTGAAGCCTGCCCTAACCTGAGGCAGTCTCTGATTCTGACACACCCTTGCTCCAGTTATTTTATTAGTCGATCTCATCTGGGGTCTTCCTCTCCAGGACTGTCCTTCCACTCTTCCAAGTATAATGTCCTTTTCCAAGGGCTGGTCCCTCCTGACCACGTGCTCAAAGTACGTGAAATGGAGCTGAGCTTCAAAATTCTAGCCTCTAAAGAGAGACTTGGTTTCACCCTCTCCAAGACAGAGGGCTATTTGTTTTCTTGATGGTCGGTGGTTCAAGACTCTTCTCCAGCACCACAACCCAAAGACATTGATTCTTCTGTCATCCTTAATCATTGTCCAGCTCTTTAATGCATAGCAAATAAATAGAATCGGCTTTATTTCTACCTTAAATGTTTACTTTCATTGGCTAACACAACTGTCTAGGTTGAAGATTTTGTAGTTTGGAGGCTTATAGAATGAATTCAGTTTGTTTAGTTGTTGGTAAACTATTCTGGTTATTTCATTTGAGTAAGTTTGACTAATTCATAGTTTTTGAGGAATTGGTCCATTTTGAATTATGTGCATAGTGTCTTCACAGTATTCTCTTGTGATCCTTTTCGTGTCTGTGGGGTCTGTACTGATACCCCTCTTTCATAGCCAGTGTTCGTAGATTGTCTTTTTTTCCCCTTGTGTCAGTCATAGTAAAGATTTGTTAATGTGTTTTAAGAATTGGCTTTGTTTTCACTGGCTTTCTCTATTTTGTACTTTTTTTTAGTGGTTATTATTAGGTCCCCTTGAGTCCGCTTGATTCCTAGTGACCGTGCTGTGACAGCAGAAGGATGTCCCTCCTGGTCCGCTCCGTCTGCACTGCTGCTGCTGGTTTGAGTCCACTCTCGCATCCTACTTAATTTTTGTTGTTGTTGTTTTAATTTTGTATTTTGATTTGGCTGTATACTACTTGCTTTTAAATTTATTTTACTTCTCTGTTTTTTAGTTTATTTTTTTAAAATTTTTTAAAATTTTATTATTTTTATGTGAGTGTACCGTCAAATCAGATCTGACTGGTACAGGAGGAGATTGTCCCTCCTTCCCTGGCAGAGCATCTGGTGGATTCGAACTGTGCGCCTCTGGGATTGTAATTGCAGCTCCTTACCACTAGGCCACCAGAGTCCCCCTTGTTTTTTAGTTTCTTAAAGTGAAAATGTAAATTATTAAAGAAAATCTAGATTATTAATTTGAGACTTTTTTTAAAAATTTTTTTATTTTATTTCATTATTTTTTGTGTGTACCATCAAATCAGATCTGACTGGTACAGGAGGAGATTGTCCCTCCTTCCCTGGCAGAGCATCTGGTGGATTCGAACCGTGCACCTCTGAGATTGC